CTGTTTCCCACATAGTCGTGTTTTAAGTGGGGTCATATAGCTGAATTGGAAGAAGCGAGAAAGGTGAAAGAGATGTGATAACCTGATTCATTTTTGTTGACTATCTGGTACCTAGACCAGTGTGTTTTTTATTTAGTAAGTGCTTAAAAATATTTGTTAAATGGAGTAAAGAACATAGGAGACCTAGAAAATTCCAGCATCGTTGAATGTTATGTTGTGTCGTGTAGAGGGCCCCCTGGGAAGACAGATGGACATTCTTTAGATTGTTGTTGGCTGGGCCCGGGGCATTGGCCAAGGAAAAGGGAGATCCCCGTCGCATCAGGCCCCGCAGTGTCCATCTCCCTTCTCTGGGGATGGCACTAAAATCAAGGAGTACACAAATGCAAAGATTGACTAGAAACTATTATCAGTAAGTGGAGAAGATAGTCTGAATATGCAATAGCCAGAAGCAGATAGTGAAGCTTGGATTGTAAAGCAAGAAAGAACTCTAAGAGATAGAAAGACAAGTAGGAAGGGTTGGGATAAGAGACTTAGTAGAAGGATTGTCCTGGATAAAAATTGATGAGACTTGTGGTCTAACAATAGAGACCCTCCGATTCTCTTAATAAAAATAACACCTGGAAAAGTTCTAGCTTCTGCCTTGATGCAGAAAGCTGGAGAAAGCATTACTCTTATCACCACAACATAAACTCAGTAATCTAAAAAATTTTCACTTTTACTAAGCCAATCAGAGAGCCGAGGTCACAGGGCAACACCTGGCCTGAGAGGTAAGGAAAGCCTAGTGCTTCTAAACACAAAAGAGATGCAGAACACTGAGTCACCGGTGGCAGACCACGGGAAGGAAAATGGTGCAGCACTCAAACGGGAAAAAGAGTTCTATTACATTTTTAAATGAATTGCTAAAGACTGAGTGTGGGGCTGACATGGGAACCCCATCGGAGCCACAATCATAAGGGGAGTTCATATCCACTCCCAGGCTTTCCTCCAAGGATCTCCACTGGGCACCCAGGACAAAGATTGGGGGCAGGATGACAAAGACTGTGAGGTGGTACAGGCTTAAAGGAGAGGAGTGGCTGCCACTGCAGGAAAGGCAATATGAAACCCGGAGCCTTCTCCTTTAAGGAACGTAAGACTCAAACTGATGGGGGAAGGCAGCAAACCTGTTGTACCTCAAGGGACAGATGGGGCCCATTGCTGCTGCAGTTATAGGGGAAAAAAGAGGGGGGGAAAATCCCCTCTATTCTTGGGAGAGGATTATTAGAGGTCATAATGCTGGGGAGGGTCAGAATCACTGAGACCCAGGGACCCAAAGCCTGTGTAAGTATGAACAGGATGGGAGAGAAGCTGTCTTCCTTACCCTCACCCCCACAATCAGTCTACCAAGCACTAAGTAACAAGAAATTTACTGCTGGGAAAAGGGCATGAACTTGCAGGTGTGGGGAATGTCTGGCCCTGAGGGCTGTATAAAGTTTGAAAAATAACTTGTCTGGCCCTGTCAAGGCATTAGGGGTGTTTATTAAATATCTGACCAAATATAGCAGGCTAAATATTTTTATTCCCCCTCCCCCCCAGCAGGATAATTTTTAAATTGATAATTTTCCATAGCCTGCAAACCTACACTAATAAAAGAGAAATATGCAAATTGACCATACTTCCATGACACTCACCAGCCAATCAGGCATGAGTATGCAAATTAACCTAACAAAGGGAGTCGGCTAATTTGCATATGCAGGCGCAGAGTGAAGACTGAAGGTTCTGGCTCGAGCAAAGACTGAAGACTGAAGAGGCTTGGCTTCTCCACTGCAGCCAGAGTGAAAGTCTGGGTCCCAGATGCTGGAGGAAAACCGATGCCAATAGCCAGGGTAAAGAAGGCCTATTGCATGAATCTTCATGTAACGGGCCACTAATGATGTTATAAATATCTAAATGAATCTTGGCAAAAAAAAAAAAAAAAAAAAAAAAAAGGTTTCCCACCCCTGGCTTAGAGTGACCCTCTCTGAGTGGAAGGAGCACAGAAAGCCTAAAGCTGGACTTATGACAAATGGACTCATGAACAAAGGAACTTCTAAATAATCTTTTGTTAACTAACCTACTTTAAGAAAAATTTATCGACTATAGTATACTTTGTACCTAGCAGTATGCCTGACCCATAATAGGTATCCAGTAATACAGTTTGTTTTGTCAGGTCCCTAACTTTAATGTGAATCCTTGTGCCATTTCACTCTATTGTATGAAGCTACTGGTGTTTTCTGATTGCTATTTTGATCCAATTAAGAAAATGTGTTCATTTCTCATTTACTAAGAATTTTTAAAATTCAGAAATGGCTGTTGAATATTATACAATGCAATCATAGAGAATATCATTTGGCTTTTCTCCTTTAATTTGAAAAAGTACCTGAGTAGATTTCTTAATGTTAAACCACCATTCTTGGAATAAACTATACTTTGTCTTTGTGAATAAACTGGGAAATTCTCTGCTTTTGGGGAGATTCTTCGTTTCCCTAGAATTCACCTGGGTTTGGTTACCCCGTCTCACTGCCTTCTTCCTTCCAGAGGTGCCCCATAGTACCACTAATAATTTAACCAGGAGGATGTTTTCTCATACTAGCCTTCAAGGCTCCTGGAAAAGGGGGCTCACCTACTGCTCCTCAACAAAACCAGTTTTCCCACTGTCCTTGCACAGCCACACACCTTACCACTTCCAAGCCTTTGCTAATTTCATGTCACTTGCCTCGCTAAATCCTAACCCCTGAATTTGAGGTGGGAGGTATAAGGTGGTGTTGATTATGGCAGCACAGAACAAACATCTGAGGCAGAGACTGTGTAGCTGCTTGGCACCCTTCTCTTCATTTAACCCTCAGAATCCTGAGAGGCTTTATTTTGTAGATGGGAAAACAAACTTGATAAATGTTATACCCTAATAAGTGGAGGTGCCAGAATTTAAAACCCGGACTTCTAGATTGCAGTGAATACAGATTCTCCCCTCTTTCACTGTTCAGGGGCTACAGTCTCTCATGTTGACCTGCATGTCCTCCATGTCCCATTAGCAATTGTAGACTGTACCACACTATGTTACATTAAACTCATTTGTAATTTCTATTGTTTCTTCTGAGTCGTTCTTGTCTCACACGGAGCAGTTATTAACTGAATGACCTCTCAGAGCCTGTTTATCCAACTGCAGATGTAGGCACCCTTTTTTTTTTTTTTTTTACTTTATAATAAAAGAGGGGGGGGGGGAATAAAAGGGTACGGTGAGCCGAAACCGGTTTGGCTCAATGGATAGAGCGTCGGTTTGGGGACTGAAAGGTCCCGGGTTCGATTTTGGTCAAGGGCATGTACCTTGGTTGTGGGCATATCCCCAGTAGGGGGTGTGCAAGAGGCAGCTGATCGATGACTCTCTCTCATCGATGTTTCTAACTCTCTATCTCTCTCCCTTCCTCTCTGTACAAAATCAATAATATATATATATATATATATATATATATATATATATATATATATATATATATATATATAAAGGGTACGGTGACTAAATAAAAAAAAAGTTGATTGTGTTAGTCTTAGCTGTATACTGCAAAAAACTCCCTTTCAACATAAGTTTCATTCTGCGTGGTCTCCAGGGGTTCTTTGGCTACCCCTACAAAATTAGTGCTTAAATATCGACAAGAGTTGCCATTAGTGAGTATGGATCACCTCCCCACCAAGCACATCCAGCAGCGGCAGGATGACGGACATCGCACCTACAGACAACAAGCATTCCCTAACAAGGATGAGAGATGAGTGAGGCAGGCCCTCCCAGCTCCGGGCGCGATCTCACCCCACCCCTCCCATCTCAGCCGGATGGAACATTCCGTGCGAAAGCTTTGACAGCGCGCTTCCCCCTCCCTCCCCCCCCGGAGTCACGTGGCGGTGGAGCGTGCTGACGGCGCCTGCGGGATGACGCGCGCTCGGGTTGCCAGGGGGCGGGGCCTGCGCCGCGGAAGGGGCGGGGCAGACAGCCCGCGGGAGGCGGGGCGGGAGGGGCGGAGGGCGGGCGGAGAGGGGCGCGCGGGCGGGGAGGGCCCGGCGTATTATGGGATGCGGCGGTGGAATGGCGCTGGGCGCGTGATTTTGAACAAACCCGGGTCTGTGTCTCGGAGGCGCCGCCGCCGCCGCGGCAGCTGGGAGCCCAGGGAGCGCGGCGCGAGGAGAAGGCGGCGGCGCCGCCGGCTTTGGTGAGTGTCAGACTCGGGGGAGGGGGCATCTGGGAAGGCGGGCGGGAAGGGGCGCCGGCCCCCGCTGCTGCGGGTGGTGGCGCGGCCGAAGGGCGCCTGACCGCTCCCTCCGGGAGTCGGGGCTGGTGGTGGGTGGGTGGCGGCGGAGAGCGGGAACCTGCAGGCTGGGGGGGGGGGGGGCAGGGGGGTCGCCGTGCCCCACCCCCGGGCCGCAGTGGGCGGGAGGATCCTCCCGGGCTCGGCCCCTTCCCGCCCGCACCCGGGAGGGCGGCTGTCACCCGGCCTCCCGCCCGCCCTTCCTGGCGGGTCCGGAGGAAGGGCTCGGGCGGCTGTTGACAGGCACCCTGCGCGGCCTGGGACGCCGGCCGTGCGGGCCCCGGCTCTCCGGGAACCGGTTTTGCTGCTGTGTCATTTGGTACCGGCGGCCCCTCCTCTCCCCGCCGCCCGCCGCCCCGCTCTGCCTGCGCCCCTTTGTACGGTGCCTTCGTGTGTGTGTGTGTCCGTTTCCCTCGCGAAGCCCACCAGCCAAATGTCACAATGTCCCCGCGGTGCACGGGGGACGGGAGCGGGCCGGGGCTGAGCTTGGCCCGGCAACGGTAAACACCAGGCAGGCTGCGGGTGGACGCGGCGGCGGCGGCGGGGAGATGGAAGTTCAAAGATGAAGGCGCCGGGGGGACCCGGTACTTTCGAGCCGGCGGCCGGCCGGGCGTAGGGACGGCGACCACCGGGCGGGGTTAGTACATAACCCGGGGGAGGAGGGGGGAGCCTGAATCTGCGGACTTTTATATGGAGTTGTCACTCAAGCAAGGTAAGGCAAGGAAATGGCTTTTTTCAGCTTCTACCTCACTCTTCTTAGAGTACCTCTTAAAAAAAAAAAAAAAAGACAGGCGAGGGACCCTATTCGAAACCTTGACATTCACTTTGCTCATTTCAGACGGGTCTTGTAGAGCTTGTGCTGTATTTGACAGGTATGGAATCCGGCTTTTGAATGGGTGGTTAGCATATCTTTCTGAAATTGACAATGGTAGCCAATTTAGGGTTTTTGAGGGTTTTTTTTTTTTTTTTTTTAATCCGGTCTCCTTTAGAAGCCTCGCAGCTTATGTTTCCTTGTTACTTCTTTGATGATGAAAAGAAACCTATGTCAGCCCTGACTGGACAGCTCAGTTGGGTAGTGTCGTACTGATACACCAAGGTTGCGGGTTCGATCCCAGGTTAGGGCACCTATAAGAAGCAACCGATGAATGCATCCATAAGAGGAACAACACACTTCTCTCTCTTTCAAAAAAAAAACAAAAAAAAAACAACAAAAACCATAATCTGTGCTCTCTTTTAGTTATTTATTGAACTGCACGATAAGAGCTGGCGGGGGTAGATAGGTAACTCTGGGGTCTTGTTGTAAAGCAAGCTGTTCATTCTCACTGTTTTCCCATGAACAAGATCAGCACGTTTTAAACGGAGTTGCACGTTGGCATCTTAAGCCAGTGACAAGCTGGAAGCTACAGTGTCCAAGGGCAGAAATGATCCGATGGCGTTCAGTGGGGAGGAAAATAGTTCGGAACTTTGTTTTGACCACCCTGTCTGCACGAGGATCCATGACTGTAATTTACAAATGTGTCAGAGGTGGGGATAGTTCCTTCTGCCCAAGTAGTGCTGACGGTGGAGGAAAATGTCGGAGACCGTGGGTGACATGAAAGGTCTGGATCTTGTTTTTCGTGGCCTGAGATGGGCACCGTGAATAATAAAATACATGCCACCGCCTCGAGTTGCCCTTTTGAAAAGTGAACGAATCGGGGGTTCTTTATTGTCCTTATGTCGTCTTCCCCCATGGCTTCTGCTCTTCAAAATAAAAAAATGCCGGGCCGGGGGACCCCCGCAGGTGGCGCGGCCGCGGGCCGCAGGGTCACCGTCTCCCCCGCGGGGCTGTGCCTCCGGGGCCCGGGGCCGCTGGAGGCCGGCGGGCCGGGAGCCTCACCCGGATCTGTGGGTGTGCGCCGCCCGGGAGGGGCGGGCGGGAGGGCGGAGGAGGAGGAGGAAGGGGGAGGTTACCGGCGGCGGCCGGGCTGGGGCTGTCGGGGAAGCTGCTGAGCTGTGATGGTGATGACGAGGTGAAAATGGCGGATCTTTCGAAATACAATCCCGGCCCCTGACATACCAGAGGCGGCGGCAGCGGCGGCGGCGCCGCCCGGACTCCCTCTCCGGCCCCGGGGCCCCCGCAGCGCTGCACTTGGGGCGTCCGGGGAGAGCCAGCCTCTGGCCGGAGCCACCGAGCACGGGCAAAGCCAGCACCGCCCGGGCTCCGAACCGCCCGGGACCTTCTGGAGCCCCCGCCTCGGAGCCGGACGGACGGAGAAGGCGGCAGCCGCTGGAGGTAGAGAAGGGGGTATCTGAGGGCTCCTCTGTCTTGAGATTCTTTATTTTGGGGGTAGGGTGGGGGGTAAGGGTGGGGGTAGGATTGTGCTGTGGATCAAGGAATGCCTGGAACTGAGTGCAAAGAATCAGTAGCCTTGTAATGACATCAACATTTATTCTTTGAGTATTAAGAGGGCTCGAGTTTGCTCTGATACCTAAGGCTGCTGCTGAGGCCTAGAGGAACCGCTAGCACTTACCACGATTTTCTGGTTTAATATTCAAAATATCCACTCTGGTGGGTACTGGTGTGATGATGGTCAGCAGTTTATGGGGTTGTATGCTTCTTTAGGGAGGCAGAGCATTGGCATTTTATTCTGCATTTAAGCTCTTGATTTAGATCATAGCCTATAACTTGTTTGGGTGTGGATGCCCACATTTTTTGAGCATATGGACCAGTTTTGTAAGAATTTAAAATGTTGCCTTTTTCTTTTATGGCTCTGTCATCTGTAGAGTGGACCCCTTTGGCCCTGCCATTGGCAAATAACAATTGAGATACTGTCATGTATGCTTTATAGTTTTTGTTTTTCTTTGTGACTCCTCCCCCCCCCCCCAATTCATTTTGTCAATTCAGAGAGTAAAGTTATGAAAGATTTTGCAGTAGATTTTATAATTCAAGTGAAACACAGCTCTGGGAGCTCTATTTTGGTTCACAAGTTTTGCCTTCATTGCTAAGGAAGTTGTGATAGCTTGATGCATGCATCTGATGTGAGTCATTAAGTTGGTAAAGATGAATTGAGAATTTTTATATTCTAAAATTCTGGACACCTTTGTTTAAAGAGCTGGAGAATTGGACTGAATGACCTTATAACATCCATGATTTAGTTTATCTAAAGATCCTTGTGTGTTTTAGATTGTGCTGTAGATCCCTAAGGGTCTGTCTCCTTGCACAGGTCAGTAGTGTTACTGAAAGTTACATTTGAGTCAAAATTTTATATGTTAATTTCAAGCCCTGTTTTTTTTTTTTTTTCCAGCTTTTGTAGTAAAGGATTGTGTCAGTGACATTGAGTATATGAGAGGAAACAGAGTTGAATAATATTTAAGAAATGCCTACTGGTAATTTTATGATTACAGTAATTTTCCTTATCCAAGTTTCCTACAAAGAGATGATGTCATTGTATTTAATAAGTATCATACATATATTTTATTCAGAGGTAAAATATTTTTTGTGTATCTTGGACATTTGGCTTTTGTTCATTAGGAGGCTAAGAGACAAAAAAAAAATTTTAGGGGACTGAGAGGTACTCAGAAGATTTACCTAATGAATTTTAAAAAATCATTTGTCTGATGTTCTTATATCTAGTGGGAATTTGATTCTGTGGTTTTTGCTTTTTTCTTGTTATAGATTTTATCTTGCAATTATTTGGTCCATGCCAACCTATCTGCTAGGTTAGTAGTAAGAGTAAGAATATTTATTTATTATTATTTATTATTATTATTATTATTATTTTAATCCTCACCCGAGGACATTCCCCCATACCCCAGTTGATTTCTAGAGAGAATGGAGAAGGAGGGGGGAGAAACATTGATACGAGAGAGACACATCAATTGATTGACTTGCCCACTGGCATCCCTACTGGGTCTGGGGAACCTGCAACAGAGGTCATGCCCTTGACCAGGAATTGAACCTGAGAGCCTGAAGACCAACACTGAGCAAAACCAGCTGGGCCAGACTAAGGATTTTAAAAATAATTTAAGATGAAGATGAAAATGTCTTTTCATTGGTTTCCTTATTTTTTTCAATCACAAAGGGCTGTGTCATTTGTGATTCTCCGTGATTGTCTTTAAATATATTTCTATTGATTTTTTTACAGAGAGAAAGAGAGAGATAGTTAGAAACATCGATGAGAGAGAGACATCGATCGGTGCCTCTTGCACGCCCCCACTGGGGATGTGCCCGCAACCAAGGTACATGCCCTTGACCGGAATCGAACCCGGGACCTTTCAGTCCGCAGGCCGACGCTCTTATCCACTGAGCCAAACTGGTTTTGGCCTCCGTGATTGTCTTTAAAGACCAGTTTTTAGATTGTTGTGGTTAGAACAACCATCTATTAATAATTAGAATTGTGTTAGAAAGAAAAACTGGAAAAGTTATGCTACTGGAGATAGTCCAGTGTCTTTATGGGGGGAGAGGAGCATTATACATTTCCATTATTTTTTCCAGATATTAGTATTGGTTTTCTGTTATCTATTGTGCTTTACATATTGTGCTAGGGATAGGAGATACCTCAATATCATTGTCTCAGGGAATGGTTAATTTAGGAACCGGAGGTAGGTTGGAAGGGTTGAATAGGGCCTTAATGCATGCAGAAGGCTTTGAATATTACAGAATTTTTTTAAACAAGAGAGTGACAGCCACAGAGATCCGGTAGTTTTTATGTGGGATGTGTTATAGATTAGAGGAGATGATGGTAAAGATACATTGTAGGCTAAAAGCTTTGGAGATGTGGAAATTCTTGGTTGTAGTGGGAAGGAGACATTGTGATAAATGACAGATTCTATAGAGAGACACCAAAGATGAAGGCCTTAAACTCTGCTGTTTGATAGAATATTGAATGCTGTAAAAAAGAAACCAGAAGAAGCTAATTTAGATGGAGGAAAATAATTTTCATTTGAATTATAGTGTATCATGTAACTGTCTTCACAATTAACCCTGCAAATAAGCGAGCTTAGAAATTATTGTTTAGGTTTATACATTAAACTGCTGAGAGAACCAGGATTTGGAAATGGATATTTCTGATTTGAATCTCTGTGTTTTTCCCACAGTATGTTAGTCTTAAGCATGAAAAGGGGGAAAAACATTGTGAATCCCCAATGTTGGCCTAAATAATTTTATTTGATTAAAATATTTAATTTTAATATAATAAAAGCCTAATATTTGCAAATCAAAAAAAATTTAATTTTATATGTATATAGATATAAATTCTTTAGGCTTACTACTTGTATGCAAGTAACAAAAGTAAATTTATATATGAAATATAAGCCAAACTATATAAAACCAGTAAAACAAATTAAATGTAGGGTGATGATGTTATTTTGCTGAAATAAAAACTTTCTTTGCATAGGAATATACTATTTATTGTCTGCCTTGGTAAGATGTGGAGTTTTCTATATACTATATATCCTATTATAACTTAATTTCTCTACCACTTTTCTGTACTTGAATGCTCATGGGTTAAGTGGTTTGGCTTTCACTTGGTGTAAATGTATCATTTATCTTGTAAGACTGTTTTGTGTCTTTTTCTTTAGCTCACTCTAGTTCTAGTATCATTGGTTGTGGATATGAGGTTGTTATCCAGGTGATCTAGAATATATATATTTTTTAAAGTATCAAAATGAAAATATAAACTTTAAAAATCTTCATCAGGACTCATGGTTTATAGTCTGCTACTCCCAATTAAG